TTTTCAAACTCAACATGTGCCATAAAACAAGAACAATTCCATTGCTGAAAGATCACTGTTTGGTGTCTTAAGTTGAGCAGAACATTTGCCTAAAGCCTCCATTCTCTGTATTTCATGTCTGCTTGCTTTGGAGATCCATGAAGGGTAAAAAAAATACAAGATCTATATGTTTATCAAGTGCCTAATCTGTAGCTAGTGAGTTTCATGGAACAACAGAATCTGGGCTCCATTTTCTTCTTGATTAGGATCTGAAAAGAAAAGGAAGGGGAATAAAGAGAATGCTTTTTATCAGGGGGTAGAGGTGAAGAGAGGTGAAGAGAAAGGTCTGCAGTGGATATTAGACTATGAGGGCAGTAGACACTTTGAGGCCCAGACTGTTTTCAGCAGACTGGAGTGAAATTTGTTAATTCTGGAACAAAAAGACCTCATATTATGCTGAACTTGACAAGCATGGAAGCAAAGTAAAGAAATGACATGATTATTTACTATTGATATTATATATCTTGGTCAGATGGCTGCAGACCTTCCTGATCAATCATCTGTCGCTTGTTAACTTTTGCACAATATGGTTTCTGGAACCCATTAAAGTTAACACCAAGATTGGCTCTCACTTTGCTCCTGGGCAAAGTTTCCTCTGGTGGGCTTCTTATATGGTGGGTGGTCCCTAGCATGCTTATCTGATGGTGATGGCCACGGTACCCTTTTAATGTCCCACAACCCCCCATTAAGTCAGAGGCACGATGGAAATTGAAAAGATGTGTGGCTGGTATTCCCAGAGCAGGCAAATATTCTAAACCTACAGGATCTTCCTTGAATCTAAACCTGTCCAAGAAAGTTCTGCTTATGGACTATGCTTAGTCCAGAACAGGGATGGCAATGTGGCACTGCCAGAATTTCCCCAACAGTGTTCCCCAAGGAAATAATGGATCCCAAATGATGTTGGCATTCTGGTTCCGAAGGCCAGAAAAGGCTGCCTGTTGTGTGGCCATGCTTTGGTAAACACTGCACACTTCTGCCCATAATATTTATTTGCGTGTTTAATTAATACAGGGATTTAGCAGAAGAATCAATGGAACAAACAACTACCAGACCAGCAAGCATTGCTAGAGGAAGACAGGCGAACATTATTGAC